GCACCAGTCACTGGCCAGGAGCCCAGTGGGGAGCGGCCTTCGGCTGAGGCCCCACGCCCCACCCCAGACCAGGGGGCAGGTGACCATGCGCGCTAGGGGCGCCGTCTGTCCTCACACTGGGCGCCGCCACTCCCCTGACCCTGCTGAGCTGGGGAAGCTTCTGTGAGGCCCACTGTCCTGTCACTGCCACGCTCTTGGCTGCGTCCTGGCGTCACCAACACATGCTGAGTTCCTGCAGGGAGGCTGGCCGCAGACACCCCAGGCCGAGGGTCCAGTGAGGGGCAGTGTGGCCAGGCAGGGCAGCCTTGGGCGGGGCTCCCGGGTCCCCGGGTCTCCCCTCAGACCCCCAGCGGCAGAGGAGAGCCGGGTCTCGGCTTCCTCAGGGCCTGCTCGCGGCGGCCCACAGGGAACACAGCGCGGTGAGCAGATGTGGAGACCACACGCAGAGCGCAGCACCGCAGGTGCACCAGGGCCTGTGCAGGGCGCACCCCACCAGGCACCAGGAGAGCGGGGCGCGTCCTCGGGTTTGCACACTCTCCAGAGGCATGCGCTGACTCCCTTCCTTGTCCCATGCAAGCTGAAGAAGTCCCCACCGCTGGGGCAGGCTCCAGGGTCCGCTGTTCCCACCCCGGCACCACACAGGCGCCTCAAGCCTCACTCGCCCCTGTGCCCTGTGGGAGCCTCTGCCCCACAGGACCCACCGGCCACCGCCCAGGGAGCTCCAGGCACAGGCTGAGTGGCGTCAGCACCCAGGACCCCGTCCAAAGCACCGTGAACTCCCAGGGTCTCTCAGTGGGCAGAGCGTGCTCCCTCAGAAAGGCCTGATGGGCGCTCACGTGACACACAAGTGGGCACCTCAGCCCATGGGACACCGCTGTGCCAGGGCCTGGGCTCATCCCCAGGCTGGCCGCCCTGGGCAGCCCAGGTGGGAGGTGTGGCCACAGGCGGCCCCAGGTGTGAGGTGCAGTGCGGCTGCCCGAGGCCACAGGTTCATCGTCTGCCCCTCCTGTCCCTCTGCGCGCCCTTCCACATCCTTAATCTGCGGGTGTGGGGTTGCAGACGTGCCCTGAGCGCGCGGCACGTTTATGTAACCTGTGAGTCATGCCTTTCATGGCATTGTATCCTTGCAAACCATGCGTGCACTGAGCGAGTGAATGAGTTCAAGTTGTGTTTTCCACTTGAAAGTGACGGATGGCCTCCCTCTGTGAGTCCTTCCTGGAGCGTGCCAGACGCGGGCACGCCGGGACTGGTCCCGACCGCGGCAGGGAAGCTGCCTGGGCACCTGGCCAAAGGCACAGGAGGGCTCGACGGGCAACGCAGCGCAGGACTCTGCTGGCCTCTGGGACTCTCATGCCCAGTGCACAGCAGCTTGCCTGGACCGTGTTCCACCTACAACTTCCTGCGGCCCCGTTTCCCGCCAGCTAGGTGGGCACCGGACCCCCACATCTGCCCCTGCACCTGCTCCTCTGAGCACCCTCTGCTGCGGCTTCCCCCCCCCCCCGGGATCTTAGCCTAGACGAGGTTACCACTGTTGTGATGTGCATTCTAGAGGCAGCACCTGGCCACAGAAGTCAGGGGCAGCCGTGCCCTCTTTAGCCCTAGGAAGCCACCTTCCCCCTCCCTTTTCAAATTCGGATGCGGCAGCTGTGGCCCTGAGCTACCTGAGGCCCGTGAATGATATTTGTCTGGGGTTTCAGGAGCCTGCAGGATGGAGGCCACCTGGACAGGCCGACCTCGGGGCCAGCTGAGCTGCGCTCCCTCCCGAGACGCCTCCACCGGCCATCGTCAGCGTCACAGCGACCACCGCTGACCGACTCCTTGTTGTGCTCACTTGAGCTGCAGCTGCCCCTCCTCTCCCAGCGCTCTGTGCTGACTTACGGCGCGGCGGGGACCCACAGACGGCTCCTTGCCCCGGGCTGCTGGCTTCCTGAGACGCACTCTCCCTCTCACCGGCTCTGTGTGGCGCACACACAGGCTGTCCAGTGGCGAGAGTCTGGTGCTGGCCCCACGGTAGCCTCAGCTGTATCATCACCGTCCCAGGGACCCTCCTGGAAGAACCTGCCCGCTCGCCTACCTGCCTGCCTGCCCCCTTAGTCCATGTCCTGGGCTTTTGGAGGCTCACTGTACCAAGTTCACTCACTTTGAACAAACAGCATGACAGACAAAGTCCTTGATTGCTCCTGGAGTCTGGCCGAGGGCAGAGCCACCTGGAGGGGCTTAGAGGAGGTCTGGGCTGTGCCCACCACCACGCGCACGGGGAGGGGTCTGTCCCGGCGCAGACACCGAGCTCCGCAGCGTTTCCTGCTGCTCCGCAGCCTGGAGCACCACGTGTGTCCACAGATTCCTGATCAGCAGGAGGAAGAACGCGAGGGCTGGAGCAGGCGCAGCTCTGTTGTGGAGGGTGTGGGTGTTGTCAGATGGTGTGTGGGCTGTTGGACAGTGTGTTGTGCATGGTGTGTGTTTTGGGACTGTTGTGGACAGAGTGTGTGTTGTTGGACAGTGTGTTATGGACGGTGTTTATGTTGTGGAGGGTGTGGGTGCTGGACAGTGTGGGTGTTGTCGGATGGTGTGTGGGTTGTTGGGCAGTGTGTTGTGGATGGTGTGTTTTGGGACTGTTGTGGACAGAGTGTGTGTTGTTGGATGGTGTGCTATGGGCAGTGTTTATGTTGTGGAGGGTGTGGGTGCTGGACAGTGTGGGTGTTGTCGGATGATGTGTGGGCTGTTGGACAGTGTGCTGTGGATGGTGTGTGTTTGGGGGCTGTTGTGGACAGAGTGTGTGTTGTTGGACAGTGTGTTATGGGCGGTATGTGTGTTGCTGGACTGTGTGTTGTGGAGAGTGTGTGTATTGTGGAGAGTGTGTGTGTTGTGGAAGGTGTGTGTGTTGTGGAAGGTGTGTGTGTTGTGGAGGGTGTGTGTTGTGGAGGGTGTGTGTGTTGTGGAAGGTGTGTGTGTTGTGGAGGGTGTGTGTTGTGGAGGGTGTGTGTGTTGTGGAGGGTGTGCTGTGGAGGGTGTGTGTTGTGGAGGGTGTGCTGTGGAGGGTGTGTGTTGTGGAGAGTGTGTGTTGTGGAGGGTGTGTGCTGTGGAGGGTGTGTGTGTTGTGGAGGGTGCGTGTGTTGTGGAGTGTGTGTGTGTTGTGGAAGGTGTGTGTGTTGTGGAAGGTGTGTGTGTTGTGGAGGGTGTGTGTTGTGGAAGGTGTGTGTGTTGTGGAGGGTGTGTGTTGTGGAGGGTGTGCTGTGGAGGGTGTATGTTGTGGAGGGTGTGTGTTGTGGAGGGTGTGTGTGTTGTGGAGGGTGTGTGTGTTGTGGAGGGTGTGTGTGTTGTGGAGGGTGTGTGTTGTGGAGGGTGTGCTGTGGAGGGTGTGTGTGTTGTGGAGGGTGTGTGTGTTGTGGAGGGTGTGTGTGTTGTGGAGGGTGTGTTGTGGAGAGTGTGTGTTGTGGAGGGTGTGTGTTGTGGAGGGTGTGCTGTGGAGGGTGTGTGTTGTGGAGGGTGTGTGTGTTGTGGAGGGGGTGTGTGTTGTGGAGGGTGTGTGTTGTGGAAGGTGTGTGTGTGTTGTGGAAGGTGTGTGTTGTGGAAGGTGTGGGTGTTGGACGGTGTGTTCTGTCCTCATTTGTTTCAGGGGGCCACTGGGGTCATGCGGTCGAGCAACCAATCAACAAAGCACCCACAAGGGCTGGTTTCATCTGTGTGGTCCCTTTTCCTTGATAATGAGAGAAGCGGGCCAAGCTCTCCTGGAAGCGACTCGGTCTGCGTTTGAAACGGAGCATCTTCGCCGAGCCAAACCCTCACTAACGGGAAGCGTTTCAGCGTCTTTCACTAAAGTGCGCTCGTTAACTCCAAACCTGAGCCCCGAATCAGGAACGTGGGGAACGGCGAGTGCGGCCGCACGCTGGAGGAAACCACTCGCACCGGCCCAGGTTCTCGTGTAACCATCCCGCTGGCTGAGGAGGAACACCGAGCTGAAGGACCGCAGTGAGCTGCGGCGGGACTGACTTAGGACTCCGGGAGGAGAGCCTTGAACCCGGGTGCTGATTCCATGGCGGCACGGAGCACTCAATGGACAGAGTTATACAACGTGGCTGTGCTCTGACAACATTTATACACTGAGGACTTGAGATTCTAATTCCAAACACTTCAAAAGGATCAAAATTAAGTACATGTATGCTCCCTCTAGTAACTTATCTGCCAGCCTCAAGCGGGTGACACAGCAGCCATGTGCCAGAGTGAATGACCCAGCCGCAGTGTAGCTGAGCAGGTGGCCCGGCTGCAGTGTACCTGAGCAGGCGGCCCAGCCACGGCGTACCTGAGAAGGCGGCCCGGCTGCAGTGTACCTGAGTGCACATGGCCCAGCCGCGGCGTACCTGAGTGCACATGGCCCGGCCGTGGCGTACCTGAGTGCACATGGCCTGGCCACGGTGTACCTGAGCAGGTGGCCCGGCCACGGCGTACCTGAGTGCACATGGCCCGGCCGCGGCGTACCTGAGTGCACATGGCCCGGCCGCAGTGTACCTGAGCAGGTGGCCTGACAGCAGTGTACCTGAGCAGGCGGCCCGGCCGTGGTGTACCTGAGCAGGTGGCCCGGCCACGGCATACCTGAGTGCACATGGCCCGGCCGCGGCGTACCTGAGTGCACATGGCCCGGCCGCGGCGTACCAGAGCAGGTGGCCTGACAGCAGTGTACCTGAGCAGGCGGCCCGGCCGCGGCGTACCTGAGTGCACATGGCCCGGCCGCAGTGTACCTGAGTGCACATGGCCCGGCCGCGGCGTACCTGAGTGCACATGGCCCGGCCGCGGCGTACCTGAGTGCACATGGCCCGGCCGCAGTGTACCTGAGCAGGTGGCCTGACAGCAGTGTACCTGAGCAGGCGGCCCGGCCGTGGTGTACCTGAGCAGGTGGCCCGGCCACGGCATACCTGAGTGCACATGGCCCGGCCGCAGTGTACCTGAGTGCACATGGCCCGGCCGCAGTGTACCTGAGTGCACATGGCCCGGCCGCGGCGTACCTTTGCAGTTCCCTCGGTAGGCGATCTCCAGCTGGGGGTCCTTGCACTTGGCGCGCTGGAACTCGCAGCGGGACAGGAAGGTGCGCCCGTCAGAGGCGCACAGCGGCTTCTGCGGGGAGCCGGCGCAGTCCAGGCTGCAGTCTCTGTCTTTGTCTTGGTCGACTCTCAGAAACTTGGGAGACAGAGAAGAAGGCAGACAGACGTGAGGACAGGCTCCGTCGGGAAGCAGAAACTAGGCCGCCCACGGCCCCCGGTGGTCAGGGAGGGGACGCGAGGACGAGCCCCAGACACCCCGTGGGTCTCGGAGCCAAACCCCTTGCTGACTGAGTGGCACGCGGGCCACTGCCGTGGCAAGGACCGGAGCCCCTGCGTCTGGAAGGACCCGGCCTTCTGTCTCAGCAGGCCGGCCGGCAGTGCTGTCCTCTCACTGGTTGGCTGGTCGGTGAAATAGCGTCACCATCGGAAGCCTTGCTCCTCCCTCTGGGAGCTGCCGGGATCCGGCGCGCCCTGGTTGGAGCCCTTCCTAACCGCCGTGGTGACACAGCCTCATCGCGGCCTCGGAATCCCCGTGTGCGCATGCGCGCCCCGAGCAGGTGGCTGCTCTCACACAAGTGTTTCCTGAGAGAATGGGGGCTGCTCTGCCCAGGAGACCACGCGTGTGTCTGTGACAACATCGAGGGCCAGCACCAGGCACAGTGCGTTAAGCTGCGGCCTGCGATGCCGGTATCCCATATGAGAACCAGTTAGAGTCCCAGCTGTCCCACTTCCAATCCCGCTCCCTGATAATGCACCCGGGAAAGCAGCAGAAGATGGTCCAAGTGCTTGGGCCCCTGCACCCACGTGGGAGACCTGGATGGAGTTCCAGACTCCCGGGTTCAGCCTGGCCCAGCCCTGGCCATGGCAACCATTTGGGGAGAGAGCCAGCAGACGGATCTCTCTCTCTCTCTCTCTCTCTCTCTCTCTCTCTTCCCCCTCCCACTCCTTTCATGTAAATAAATCTTTTAAAGAAATTGTCTATTAGCCCAGGCTTATCACACCTCCACCCCAGCATGAAGGCAGTGCCCGGACGCCAGGTGGAAGAGGGCATCACTCCCACCCAGGTTTCCCAAATCGGCCAGCACACGAGAGACCACAGGAGACAGACTCCCACAGACGGCTCGGTTTCCGGTCTCGGTCCGTTCTCTTTGTGTCCTGGACACAGCCTCGTGGCTCACCCTGTAGGACCCTCCTCCTTGGACAAGTGCCCGAGCGTCCACTCTCACTTTCCCATCCCAATTCTGCGTGCCCAGGCTCAGTCCCATCTCGACCCACAACACACCAGATACAGCAACAAACATGAGGCAAGGCTCCCAAGTTCAGGCAAAGGACACGCACTGCTGGGCAAACAGAACTGCCCAGGCCTGTGGCTGCTGGAACGTCACTGCACCACACGCATGTCCTCTCTGGTGAGTGGGGCGTCAGGGAGGCATTAAAGAGGAGGAGGCAGGACGGGGACGCGGCAGCCTTTGGCCGCCCTGGGAAGGACCGTCACCTGCTCCAGTCAGCGGCAGGGACTCGCAGCGCACAGCTGGCCCTGCCGAGCGTGGCTCATGGCAGAGAAAGCAGGGGAGAAGTCAGAGAACAGGCGTGAACGCACAGCTCGCTCAGGTCGCCCGGTCCCCGCTTTGCTGCTGGGTCGGGAGCCTGCTCCACAACAGAGCGCTCCCGCTGCAGGCGCAGAGCCCGGACAGCACGAATCCCGAGGACACACGCGCTGCGCGAACCGCGGTGGTCTCTCCCCGCTTCCTGCGGCCCTCAGCGAGGAAGTGCAGGGGCCTCAGGCCGGCATGGCAATCACCGTTTTATTAGAGAAAAGGAGGCCAAGCACTCAGGCGGTTGGAACCGGACCATAATCCTGGTACATAACCTGTACCAGTGCAGATCCAACAACGGAAGCGAACTCCCCGGAAACAAGAGCGCGGGCGCTGTGTGCACAGGTGCCTCCCCCATGCCACATCCGGCAGCGGAATTCCAGGGGGATGGTGTGGAGCGGAATTCCAGGGGGACAGTGCGGAGCAGAATTCCGGGGGGACTGGGCAGAGCGGAATTCCAGGGGGGCGGTGTGGAGCAGAATTCCAGGGGGACTGGGCAGAGCGGAATTCCAGGGGGGCGGTGCGGAGCAGAATTCCAGGGGGACTGGGCAGAGCGGAATTCCAGGGGGGGCGGTGCGGAGTGGAATTCCAGGGGGACAGTGCGGAGCGGAATTCCAGGGGGACAGTGCAGAGCGGAATTCCAGGGGGATGGTGGGGAGCGGAATTCCGGGGGGGGCGGTGCAGAGTGGAATTCCAGGGGGACAGTGTGGAGCAGAATTCCAGGGGGGCGGTGCAGAGCAGAATTCCAGGGGGACTGGGCAGAGCGGAATTCCAGGGGGATGGTGGGGAGCGGGATTCCAGGGGGCAGTGCAGAGCGGAATTCCAGGGGGATGGTGGGGAGCGGGATTCCAGGGGGCAGTGCAGAGCGGAATTCCAGGGGGGGCGGTGCAGAGCAGAATTCCAGGGGGACTGGGCAGAGCGGAATTCCAGGGGGGGCGGTGCGGAGTGGAATTCCAGGGGGACAGTGTGGAGCAGAATTCCAGGGGGACTGGGCAGAGCGGAATTCCAGGGGGGGCGGTGCGGAGTGGAATTCCAGGGGGACAGTGTGGAGCAGAATTCCAGGGGGGCGGTGCAGAGCAGAATTCCAGGGGGACTGGGCAGAGCGGAATTCCAGGGGGATGGTGGGGAGCGGGATTCCAGGGGGCAGTGCAGAGCGCAATTCCAGGGGGACAGTGTGGAGCAGAATTCCGGGGGGACTGGGCAGAGCGGGATTCCAGGGGGCGGTGCGGAGCGGAATTCCGGAATTCCGGGGGCGGTGCGGAGCAGAATTCCGGGGGGCGATGCGGAGCGGAATTCCAGGGGGGCGGTGCGGAGCAGAATTCCGGGGGGCGGTGCGGAGCGGGGAGGCTGCACCCTCAGTAAGCAGAGCAGAGCAGGAGAACACAGCGTTCCTGTTCTAAGGCTTTCACTGCTCACGAAAGCATTTGGTTCTGAGTCTTCAAACCAATTCAAGGCAAAAGGCACCGTGCCAGATCTAGAACGAAATCCACCGGACCTTGGGCGACTTATTTTAAAAATAGCAGAAACCTTAGCGTTACTTTCTTAAAAATTTATTTGTTCGTTAAGAGGCAAACAGGGTTCCCATCTGCTGTTCATCCCCAAATGCTGGCCGTGGCCTGGGCTGGGCGAAGCTGAAGCCGAGAGCTGGGAACTCCACTGAGGCAGAAACCGCTACCGCTCGAGCCACCCCCGCTCTCAGGCTCGGCACGGGCGGGACGCTGGAGTTAGGCGCTGAGCCTGGACAGGAGCCCACGGTGTCCACTGCGGAACGTGGGCATCGCACCAGGTCAGCTGCCTGCCCCCACTTTGTCGCATCTTCGTAAAGCATCTTCATGAAGCGTGTAAGGCACCAAGGCCGGCAGGTGGGAGCAGGTGGAAGGCGGTCCGTGGCTGCACCGGACGGGGCTGTGCGGTCACCGAGTGCAGGCTCGCGGAATCCGGTCACCGCAAAGGTCGCAGGCAGCCGTGGTCTTGGTGAGTGCACAGGTTTAAGCCAGAAGAAAGAATTTAAACAAGAGCAAACGATGTATGAATGGACTAAAGCACCCTGCAGCTCTCAGCGCGGGCCAGTTTCTTCAGTGCCACGTCGATTAAAGGCTCGTTTTACTTTTCACCAATGAGGCAAAGGGTGAAATTTTTAAAATTCCAACTCTGACACACATAATTCCATAGCTGTGAGATTCACAGAGGGGCATGCATTGTAGTGAATCCCAACCGGAGTGCCAGTGACCCGGCCCTGGAGTTAGTGCCAGTGACCCAGCCCTGGAGTTAGTGCCAGTGACCCGGCCCTGGAGTTACTGACCCGGCCCTGGAGTTAGTGACCCGGCCCTGGAGTGCCAGTGACCCAGCTCTGGAGTGCCAGTGATGCAGCCCTGGAGCTAGTGACCCGGCCCTGGAGTGCCAGTGACCCAGCCCTGGAATCAGTGACCCGGCCCTGGAGTTAGTGACCCAGGCCTGGAGTGCCAGTGACCCGGCCCTGGAGTCAGTGACCCGGCCCTGGAGTTAGTGACCCGGCCCTGGAGTGCCAGTGACCCAGGCCTGGAGTGCCAGTGACCCGGCCCTGGAGTCAGTGACCCGGCCCTGGAGTTAGTGACCCGGCCCTGGAGTGCCAGTGACCCAGGCCTGGAGTGCCAGTGACCCGGCCCTGGAGTGCCAGTGACCCAGGCCTGGAGTGCCAGTGACCCGGCCCTGGAGTACCAGTGACCTGGCCCTGCAGCTAGTGACCTGGCCCTGGAGTCAGTGACCCGGCCCTGGAGTCAGTGACCCAGCCCTGGAGTGCCAGTGTCCCAGGCCTGGAGTGCCAGTGACCCGGCCCTGGAGTGCCAGTGACCCAGGCCTGGAGTGCCAGTGACCCGGCCCTGGAGTACCAGTGACCTGGCCCTGCAGCTAGTGACCTGGCCCTGGAGTCAGTGACCCGGCCCTGGAGTCAGTGACCCAGCCCTGGAGTGCCAGTGTCCCAGGCCTGGAGTGCCAGTGACCCGGCCCTGGAGTGCCAGTGACCCGGCCCTGGAGTTAGTGACCCGGCCCTGTCTCTGCTTCCCATCCTGCTTCCTGCTGGTGCAACCTGGGAGGGAGCAGGTGATGGTGAGGTACTTGGGTTCCTGTCACCCACGGGGGGGACCTGGCTCCCAGCTTCAGCCTGGCCCAGCCTCACTGTGCAGCATTTGGGGAGCCAGTAGGTGGAAGGTCTCTCTCTCTCTCTCTCTCTCTCTCTCTCTTCCTGATTTTCAATAAAGAAAAACCCACAAGAGCAGGCCCTTCCTCCACAGGGGGCCCCTAGGAGGTGGGAGCCCCGAAGCCGATTTCGCCCTCTGAGGACGAGATGGGACAGGAGACCTAGCCGCGGGCAGCGCCGGCTTCGGCAGCTCTGGGAGGTGATGGCCTTGCCAGCCTGCAGCCGTTCCACAGAGCAGTCTCCGTTACGACCCGGGCTTCCTCAGGGCTCGGGAAGGAGCCCGTGCCATTTCCACTGAAGGCACCCTGAATCCAGGGGCAACGTGCAGAGTGGCTGTCGGGCCTGCGATGCCGACTGGGAGGGCCGCGTTGACCCTGAGACGGCGGGACGGGCGCCCCTCACTCCCTCATGTGCTTAAACACTCAGAAACAGCGATGAGATGATCTCTTGGCATCTGGTGCCCGGGTGAAAGCTGTGTGCCAGGCCCGTGCAGGAAGTGCCGGCTCCATGAACGCCATGTGGACACAGTGGATGCCACCAGGCTCTGCGGCCAGAGGACGTGGCCTTGATCATGGACCTTGGCCGTGGATCGGCCTCACACCCTGGACGTTCACTGGGCCGGGTGAGCCTTGGCTTCCTCACTTGTAGAGACAATTGTGAAAATAAAACGAGAGTGCGTGAGGGAAAGTGGCCCCGGCCATGTGCCTCCCCAGCAGAGCTGTCTGCTCACCCGAGACTGCGCCGTGTGCACAGTGGCCACAGCTCTGTCCACGTGGGGAACTTCAGTTCTAGTAGGTGGGCACGTTCAGGGACAGAGCCTGGAGCATGAAATAAAAGGGAAATAAATTATGAAAGTGAAAGAGGCAGCAGGTCTTTCGGAAAGTGACGGGCGCAGCTGGCACAGGCAGCGTCTTCTGAGAGACTGGCAGTGCCGGGCACAGGTGGGCAGGCAGCGGGGCCGGGGCTGGGAGCCACCCTGTCAGGACCAAGCACTGGGAGAACTTCCCACACTGCCGGGGGCGGAGACAGCACCCAAGACCAGGAGAAACCCCCGTGGGGAAACCCAGCAGACGCTAGTACTAAGCAAGTACTAAGCCTAGGGGGTGCGGCCACTTCTCAACCAGCCCCGCTTGTGTCCACGAGCTTTAGCGGACTCACGGGCGTTGGCCCTTTAACCGGGGCTCCTGTGGTGCTCAAGGTGGCTCTCTGGCTCTTCCGCTGTCGCCCAGCCCACAGGATGAGCCCGGGACTCTGCGCCCACAGCTGGGTCGGGCGTGTGCTGGGCCCCACCCTCCTCTCCTTGCCCGAAACTTTGCTTTTCCACCATGTTCCTCCCCTGCCCCTCGTCACTGTGAATGTCAGGACAGGAAATGGGCACTCTTGTCTCTTGTCCCACTGCTCGGGGACAGATCAGGAAAGCACACGGTCGCTAATTCTTCCAGATTTACGGGAATTTGCACTCGGGAACTTCGCGATCCCGTAACGAGCCATCACG